GTACACAGGTCCGAAGAATCTTTTTGGGAATTGACAAGTATGAGTCTGGGGCTGGATCGGGATCAAAATGTTTTGGCCGATTGGAGCGTGGAAGAACAAGTTGGTGAGTGCAAGGAAGCCACTGAAGAATGGTATAACCTTTCAACTTCAGAAGCAAGTTGTAAAACCAAAGAAGACAAACACACATCCGCACCAGGAGACATAGTCTAATGAGGATATGGCGGGGGAAGATATGGGAGGAGAGACAAAATCAGCCATTTTTGCGGTGAGACTGAAGAAAGGGTTGCTCCCTCCAAGAATCAGCGCTGGAATTCGAAGTGTATTAGATAAATGTCGCATAGAAGACTCATCTTCTCCCCCAAATACATGAGAAGGAATAGACCCGAGATAGAAAGGCACATATGGGGCAAAAGAATAGGTAATGAGAAACACTGTTGCGAAGTGTGTTATTCTGCAGAAGCATCAAATGAAAGCCCAATTGAGGTAGATGAAGAGAGAGGAGGTCTCATGAGAACTGAGATATACTGCTGCAATGTTGACATGCATGGAAACGAAATCATACCCAACATGGGGACTGGCGTGTATAAACTCACCAGTGGCTAGAACAGGGACATCAGCAGCAGACATAGCTAATCCCATGGCGGAAGAAACAAGGTTGCCACCAGCAGTGATTGGCGCTGATGCTGGAGCAGCGGTTGGTGGAGGAGTTTTGCCACCAGAATAGGGTGCCCTGTAAGGAAACTTGCGGACCCACGATGTTCACTGGAGAAATGAGCACTGGTTCCTTTTGAGAACCTCCCACAGTTGCGACAGTATTTAGCAACCGCCTTCCCATCAACAGAGATGGTGTGTTGGGAATCATAGGGAATGTTCTCACTTGGAGGAATGGAAGCAAGCTTTTCTTTGATAATAGTTGTGAGTTTGGAGTTGGTTCAGCACTCAGACCGTTGTCCTTCGGAGCACCTCGCTTAGGAAATGATGGATCGTTTCTATGATGAACAGTAGCTCCACAATCAAAACAGGCGCCTCCACTAGGACGGTGGACAGCACTGAGAAACTGATCATCTATAAACTGAGAGGAGACAAACCACGGAGACAGAATTGACCACTACACCGCCTTACGGCACAACTCGGCTACACCAGATGGCCCTCATACTGAACTCGGCGATTCCAAGCTTCATTTGAAATACCAACATGGGCGCACAGCACTTCTCAAGTAGAACTTCAACAGGTTTCAGTTCGAATTGAGGACACCATTGAGAGGGCAGACAATAATTCCTCAATTCAGTGCAGCACCTCAGAGCTTACTTCCAAGTACAGTTGTTGATATCCCATAGTTGCACAAATCCGTTGATAGTACTCTTGACAACAAGCCATGGACTTCAAATCGTATCAGAAAAGGACTTGGCACGACACCACATTATCTAGGAGGTACCGCGTAGGACCACAGCCAAGGAGAACTCTCAGGGATGTGCTGTTAGTTCAGGCATGGGATCACTGGAACTAAAGTTCAATCGAATCTCTTTGATGATCTTGCTCGCATCGACAACATACATGGAAACATTTTCACCAGGTAACTTGGTTATGTCCAAGTGAATCAGCTTGGCTTTGAGGGTCACAATCTTGCTGAGAGAAGATCTGTATATATTTCTGCAGAACAACCAGAAGAAGTTGGGGCCCATGTTGTTTGGCTCGAGGAACAAATTCAAATTCTCCTGCAGTGCATAGTGCAAGAGTTCAAGACAGCCTTTCGCCAAGCAAAGGTTGGTTAGATTATACTGGCAAACAGGATGGTTCTGCAGATCCCCATTGGCATCGATGATTCTGACCCCATTGACTGTGTGGTCCTGATGCCATTTTTGCATCATAGACTCTGAGGCCTGTCCAGGAGCAGTGGACATGTTGATTTTATTATTAGTGTTAGTATTAAGGTTTCCAACAACAAGCTGGAAGACCCCTTCATCCATGCCTGTCAATCATACCTTTCAAATGGCAATAAGAGAGGCCAGCACAGGAGACCCAGAAGCATTGGACTCAGTAAGAGTGGAAAATAGTAGACTGCTGGAATCCTTCAGTCCTTACTTGCATGCAAATTCGATAGGCTGTAGTGTGGTTTGATGTTTCAGATGTTCTTCACCATGGAAACCCCTGAAGCATAGGGTGCTTTGAGGTTCCTTTCCCAGTCCGTCTGAGCCAGATCCTGTCAAGGCCCCAGTGTGGTTGATACCTACAAGCCGAGGTGCTTCTGTAATCTGTCTTCTCTTTGTTTTTCCCAATGTGCTGTATGAGCTCCTGGAATTGATCTTCGGTCAATGGTGCTGCAGTCACGATTGGAGGATCAGATGGGGATGATGGATCAAAATTCAAAGAAGGCTGCTGAAGCTTGGGACTGCAAGGATCTGGTGCCCGGCGCTGCGTTGTTGAAGATTGAAGATGCTAGAGCAGAGGCACGTCGTCAACCGCTCCCACTCAAATGAGAAATCACCCACACGAGAAGGAGCAAATGCATATGGCCAACAAAGAAGAGCGGCAACAGAGCTGGCAAGCTAAGAGGAGCGCGGTGGATAGCTAGTCAATTGAGTCAATCGAAGCTGAAGTTTATGAGCTTTAAGATGAAGACCAACTGCGAGCGAATCCTTCGATCCTTCGTTTGAATTCAAACTACTCGAGGGATCGTACAGAGATCGCTCGCAAAGTAGTTCGCTCAAAAACGAGAAACTGCAAGCCAGTTCGAAAGACCAACTGCAAGCGAATAATTCAAACGACCAATGCAAGCACACCGATCATGACAACAGCACGAGCGATCGACCGCTCCGTTGTTATCAGTGTAACGTGCTTTATCAGTGTACGTCCGACAGTTATACGAAAAAGTGAGCTGTTAGTGAAACTGCCGCTCGAAGCATCGACATCAGCGATTCGAACTGATATAGAGGGTAAATGCTCCCGAAAGCCATGACTCAAGCATGACCACCACAAGCCGGCTTATAACAGTCAAGCCTCATGTTCGATGATTCGTTAATCGAGCGATCGACATCTCGACTGCTGTTACGTCGGCCCCGCACGATAATGTTCGTGTAACCGTTGTAATAGACACTCACGCAACTACACCTCAGTGATACGTGACAGAGATAATAGGATCTTCATTGAGAGTTAAGATCGTCAATAGGATTAAGAAAGGTGGAATCCAATAGGAGTCCATGGAATAATATATGGTCCTCATCGCTATTTCGATCAACGACAGATGAACGTCCTTGTTGAATTCGATAGTTCATAGGAGTAGAACAAGGGCATTGCTGAGCGAATCAAGGGAATAAGTTGCAATAAGGGGAAGTACTACCGATGAAGATAAATGAGAGGAATAGCAGACTCTGCAAAGGTAGCTCATTCCTTGACAACCATAAGGGATAACATATAAGAAAAGAATGAGTAACATTCATAACACGCATGCTACCATGCGACAATACCATTGTGCAATCTGACTATTCTCAGGGATCTAAGAGATGTAAAGTTTGTATTTCCAAATAAGTGAGCAGTTATTGATTATTTTCTAGAATAAGCCTGCTAATTGTAAAGCAGTAAAGCTGAATTGTAAGCTGTATCCCGTCGCAACTCTTCCATCCTCAAAAATATCTTGGACACAGGAATCCGATATGTTCCACAAAGCCATGCTTGGAACTTAGTGATCCCCAAATCTTGTGGTCCAATCTCGATGTAGCTTTCGTCGTCACCTGGCGTGTAGCTCCATGTACGCGCATGATCATTAGATTTGTTGTAAGCATTGGCCAATGTCGCGTTCGATTCAAGGCGATAAATATCTAGCCCCTCCATGTCTTGGGTGTACTCGCCTTTCACAGCATTGACCAATCTTCGCTTCTTTTTGAATCGGACTTTTATCAGGTATCCCAATCTTGGAAGCGCATTATTGCGTGTACCGTGATCTTTCTCCAAGCTCTTCGTCATCATATCATCAATGGATTTTTCTTCGTACCACTTTTTGTTTTTCCAAGAAATTGGACCACCACGTCCGGCACAGATCCAAAATCAGCGGGCACCAAATTTCCGTCTTTTTTTACGCATCGAGGATAACCCCAGTAACTGATGTCAGGGTCCCGCGACTTGTTTGCTGGCATGTGAATTTTGTGGGTTCCAGTGCACATGCCCCATGAGTTTTTGCTCCATCGAAAAAAGTCTTGTACATACATGGTTGTGAATGCGTTGTGCTGGTCCGACGGAATTTTCAAGAGAGCACGTCCACCCACCAAAACAATCGGAAGATCTGCAAGGCCAGCTACGACAAGGGCGTCTTGCAACTCTTGTTCTGTTGTGTACTTGCGCTTCCCGCGAAGGGATGGCATCAACTCGTCTGGAAGCTCCACGAGCTCCTGATCCAGGAGCTGACCGTCTTCGTCGTCTTCCTTTGCCAATGCCAGATCTTCCACAGCTTCCCCATAATACAACCCTCTTTCTTCTGTTCGTCAACGTGCAGATCCATCTGAAGCAATTCTAGTGTGAATGTGTATGTGTAGCACTTCTTGCTCCTCCCTGATTCGATGCTGCTTTCGTGCGACCATCGCCATCAAGGAGCGGCTCTGGTGAAGTCCCACGGTGGGCACTTGCACGCAATGGCCGGGATGAACAAAGCTGTTGCTGCTACTACTGCTACCAGCTGCTCGTCGTCGTCTAGCAGCAGGAGCAGTCGTCGCAGGAGCAGTCGTCGTCGTCCTTGCTAGAAGGCTCTCTTTTTGTTGTTGCTCTTCTCTGATTGTGAGACTACTGGTACTAGCTAGTCCTCATTGGTGATGGTTGATGGACGAGGACCATCCTGTTGCTACTGTTACAGATACTCTTCGGTACTGGTACCCAAAGTTAGCCGTGGCCTCTCATGCAGCTCCTACTGGCTTATATTTTCTCGAGAGGCACTGGTTGCGGCACAAACCTGATTCGTAACTCTACCAACGGTGATGTTGTCGTTTTGTTTTGCGCACCTCAATCTGGCACCTCGTAAATTGGTGATAGTGAGCTGGCGCAGGTCACGGAGCAGAGCTGTAACGGTGCAACATCTGATGATGAGGGTTCTGGATTCTGGTTCTTGGCTCGCCCCAACGTTGCCAACACGAGTCGGTGGGTCAAACTCTTCACACATCGACGATTCATTCATTCGATCGTCGAACTAGTAGCATTGCCGCACGGTACCATGACAAAGGGTTTTCTCTTCTGGATTGTGCTTTTGCAAAGCTTCAGAGGGGCGTATTGTCTGTTCGACTCTTTCTTCGGCATCGGTGGTAGCACGGCGGGTCCTTGTGAGTCAGCCGGAAACAGCGAGGACAAGCTTGCCTGCCAAATTGATCTGATTTATCAGAGGGTTGCTTTGGCGGATGGTTCCAATGGCGATCAGGGGCAATCTTCTTATTCGAGGTCGAATGATATTGAACAGGGCAAACGGGCGCTGGACTGCGTGGCGGCCATCGCCGGTCTTGACCTCGAGCAGCAATTTGGTCGTATTCGCGTTGCAAAGAATTTGGTAATGGATCTGGTTCACGAAAACTACTTTGCATCCTTGAATCGAGACGACGAACGAGTGGACAGGATCTGTCAAGTATCTGAGCGAAGGCTCAACCTGAAAAAACAGCTCCTCCAGTCACAGGCATCGTCGAGCAGCCAGAACACTGATCCGGGCTCGCATCGTCTGAGGCGTCGGCTCGGGGATCCTGCTGTTCCCATATACCCCGCTAAAGTGTCAGTTCCGTATCAAGTGTGGGTTGATCGGTATGTAAGTACCTACCTCCAGCCGTCGAGATCAGGTGATTCTACTACTAGAGAAAAGGACACGGAAGAACGCGCCGATCTTGACCAAGTCACGACGTTGATTCTAGATCCCTTGATCGAGGTCCGACAAAATTCTGTAGACTCGGGCCTTTCGGTGGCCCGTGACGTTGTCGAAATTATCTGCTCTATCCTCGGTTCAGTCGAGCTGGGTTTTGATCCTGGTGACGCCTGCCGCATTATTTCGACAAGCATACAACTCTCCATAACTGTGAACGACGTTGCAATGACGAGCTTGGAGAACGAGCTATCCGAGGTCAACATTCACAATGTGCTCATTGACAGCGCAGAAATTGAAGCGGCCCACGAGAACACTCGCACTCTTGTAAGGGATTTGACCCGATGAGCGTTTATTTGTGTTGATGCCGGTGGTAGTGGTGGCGCTACCCGTACTGCAGCATAGGTTGTTGCTCTAGAATCCCAGTTATCATCAACGTTTCCTAGCTGCAGCTGACTCGTACTCTATAGAGATACATTTAGTTTCCACTACTCCACCACAACATTCTTCCATCTTCACTGACGGGTAAAGCAAGCTACAAACTATCTGTACATTGAACCACTGAGAAGGGATCCATCTCGGAGCGAATTCAATCCTCAAGTTAGGTTGAGCTCACTAGTCAGCTCTTCGATGTCTTTCATCTCATCAGGTGCTGGAATGCCAGCCTGTATTTCAAGAAGAAGGGGCAGAGTGAGTCAGGGGTGCATGCACTGTTTGTCTTATCGACTGCTTGCTTGAGGAATGCATGGAGACAATAGCGACAACTCGACTAGACTCACCACAGGACAGCATTTTACACCAATGGTACGCCGTGTGACGGCTTCGGCCATTCGTTGAGCCTCTAGCGGGTTGGTCACCCATGTTGTGTAAAAGGGGAAGGGACATTCAGCCACACCCTTGTCCCCATCACCATTGGCATAGACTCCTGTGTATCCACGATGTGTGAGCTTGAAGAGTTGGTTTTGACTCTGATCATTGGCCCGAGCATCGCGAATACCCGAGACGCTCAACTGAGCGTATTGGATGCCGTTGTCTTCGGTGCCACACTCTCCCAGTGTACGACCGTCCGATCCAATAATGGCCGAATGACCAAAGTAGGTGTAGACACCATCAAATCCAGAAGCATTGGCTACAGCCACATAGACTTGGTTGCACCAAGCCATTGTCTTGCTGACCTGCACTTGCTGTTCTTTGGCGGGGTACCTGCAACCGCAAAGAGGAAAGCCCAATGAAACAAATTATGACACGACAACAAAACACAGTCGAGGCGGTTGGAAAGCACGTACATGTATCCCTGCGGCCGAATGATGAGCTCTGCACCTCTCATGGCGCAATCTCTCCAAATCTCAGGGTAGTTTCTGGCCACAAAGCAAAACAAATCAAGTAAGTAGAAATAAAAAGAAAAGGAAAAGAAAATCTTCAGTACAGTGTAACTTTTCTTACTCACCCGTCATCACAAATAATCATGCTAATCTTCATTCCTTTGGGTCCTTCCACAACGCTGGTTCCCAAATTGCCTGGAGTCCATCCTTCAATGGGAGTCCATGGCAAGAGTTTTCGGTACTTTTGGACAATTTCGCCTTGATCGTTGATGAGAACCAGAGTATTGTAGGGATTCTTTTTGGGATGCTCTTCATGCTGTTCTCCCGTGAGACTAAAGACGCCCCAGACTCCCACTTCCTGGCAAACTTCACAAAACATGTCCTACATGTAGAAAGAGGCAAAATCAAAGCAGAAATAAGAGAATCGAACCACCTGGACAACAAGTTTTTGGCTGTACGGTACTCTTGCTGACGACACACACCGTCAAATCTCCTGGAATAGCACAGGCCGTGTCAAACATTTCTTGTCGATCATACATAATGCCCATGGTGGAGTATTCTGGAAAGACAATGAGATCCATTCCTGGCAGGCCAATCTTGGTTCCACGGACAATTTCACAAATCTTTTTGGCGTTATTCATGATTTCTTCTGTCGTATGAAGGCGAGGCATGGGATACTGAAAGACGCATACACCGACCGTGTCGGCGGAACTGGAAATATCGCCATGGCGTGACATGATATATCACTTCTCAGAAAAATAGAGGAAAATCGAGTATACAAGGCACTACTAGCTAGTAGAAAACTGAATTATGATCTTTTCCTTGGATTCGATGTCAAAAGAAGGAGATCGCATCCTGCAAAAGAAATGTTTCAAGTTCTGATTGGATTCGATTCCAGGAAAAGATATGCCGTAAACTTCCGTCTCTTGGGCCTCTGCTTCCATCCTTCGGCCCCGAAGGCTCCTTCAAAGTTCTGAGAAAAATGAGGCTGAACAAAGGTAGGTGTTGACACTGACAAGTTCGCCCCGCGACAGATCATCTGAGCCATGGATACTTTGTTTTGTTCGGAAGATCTTTTGCCACAGATTTTGATTGGTTCACATTCGAAGATTCTCATTCGCTTCTCGAGAATTTGGCTGGATAAATTGCCCCTGACCGACGTCAGCGCGGAAAAAAGAATCCTTTCTTGAATCTAGTCTAGCTAGGATCTTTCGAAAAGCCAATACAGTACAGTAATTTCTTGCCCCGTGCATCCAGCCCACAATTTTTTGTTGGACAGGAACCAAATTGACTTAAAATTTGCAAAGAAAGAAATAGAAAATAATCATGAAGACTGCCATTCTTGCCTCCCTCGTTGCCGCTGCCGCTGCATTTGCCCCTGCTGCCAAAGAAGATGCCAGCAACAGTGCCTTGAAGATGTCCTTTGAAAACGAGCTGGGTGCGCAAGCTCCTCTTGGTTTCTGGGATCCCCTTGGAATGGCCACCAGCCAGGAAAAGTTTGACCGTCTTCGTCTCGTGGAAATCAAACACGGACGTATTGCCATGGTGGGAGTCGTCGGATACCTCGTTACATATGCCGGGTAAGTCTACACAGGACATGACGTGGTGTCACTAACTGAAAATACACATTCCGATACCTCACAATTTTTGTTTGTGTTTTCCATGAAGAATCCGTTTCCCCGGAGCCGAGGACATTCCCGCAGGATTTGGCGCTTTTGATGCGGTTCCTCCTTCTGTGTGGGCGCAAGTCTTTTTCACCATTTTGCTGATGGAAGGATTCAACACCGATCAAATTGGAGGAGAATTCATTGGTGATTTCCGCAATGGTGCTCTGGACTTTGGATGGGATTCCTTTGATGAAGCAACCAAACTTTCAAAGCGTGCTATTGAGTTGAATCAAGGACGTGCCGCCCAAATGGGACTCCTTGGTTTGATGGTCCATGAAAAACTGGGCAATGTTGACATCCTTCTTCCTCCCAGTTTTATCAGTATCTAAGCATACAAGAAAGATAGATTTGGTTGAGGTGCCACATGTAAAAGAGCAGTTAGTTTTGGAACACCTAACTTCATAACACAGATTTGGTTGTCATGTTTTGGCTTTCTCCTTGAAGGGATAAGGTCTCGGAAATGCTTCCCCATGAGCGAGCAACTAGTAACCTGCCAACACAGTGGCAAAGAGGACAACCGAAGCACGCACCTCTCCTTAAACTTGACTGGGCCTCTGCAGATTGAACGATTTCAATCAATCCTTGCGGTTCGATGGATGAGTGGTTGCTTGCACCTCCGCTGAGTGTCTTCCATGAAATCCGTTGGATCTCGGAGTGATGCCGGGAATAGTCGAGTAAGGCAGTGTTTGTCTCCCAATCCGTGTTTCCACGATAGCTCACCGAACTTCGCAATCTTGGACGCGAGAACGATCCTTTGGCCAAATTTTCTTCCCCTCGTCGCTGCATCCACTTCAAACGTTACAATGGATACGGCAAAGAAGCTGATGCAAGATCTACGCCATGCAGGACATGCCGATGTCAAAAACCAAAAGATCGAAGCACTGCTCGTCCTCTTTCAAGAGCAGCCACAGTTGATATCCGAAAAGTTCTACTACCAGTCCAACTACATGACGGCTTTGCACGCATTCATCCTGAAAGAAGCCAGTCTGGGCACGATCAAACGCCTATGCAGCTTGGCACCCAACTTGCCGCAGCTCCTGGGCACGAGAAGTGAAGAAATCAAGGATCGAAGAAGAGGTGAATGCCCTCTGAACGCAGCGTGTTCAGCTGCACCACGAGAAGATTTGATTGTCTTTCTGGCCGAGAAGCACCCAAAAACTCTGACACGAAAAGGTTTCAACGGGGAAAGTGCGATTGAAAGCGTGATGAAATCAGGAGACATTTCGCAGGAGACCCGTCGCAAGCTCCTGAAGCTGTCTCCTACAACAGGGTTCGACATGATCTTGAACATGGTCCTCAGAGATACCTTGTTCCCCACTGACTTTGTCGACCTCATCATTGATCGCAAGAAGACTTGGTCAGTAGAAATCGAATCACACCTTTGCGCGGATAAAGCCAGGATCGTTTGCACAAAATTGATACCACGACTTCGTGTGCTGGACTTGCATACGGATTGGGAGAGTAACCAAACATTCCTGGATGTGACGAACGGAATTCAGAAAGCCAACAAGGTAGTAGAGATTCGCCATTTCACTCTAGCTTCGTTGAGAGGCATGGGCGAAGACGAGCAGCAAGAGACAATTCAGGCATTTCAGGCAGCCCTTGAAGGAAACACCAAGCTCACATCGGTCAGTCTGCAGTTTGCCTTGGATTCATCCCTTGAGGTCAAGATAGCCTGGTGCACTGCGATCTTATCGAGTCTTTCTACGATGGCAGCTTTGAGAAACTTTTCAATTGAGAGTAGATCCTCTATCTATGCCTGGCGAGAGACAAAACCGGATTTTCTAGAGGGGTCTACAGATGGCTGCCTCAAGCTTGTCGAAAAACACCTTAATCTCACGACGTTGTCCCCGTGGGAAGGCAATGACAGAAGGATCCGGTACTATTCGAACCTCAATCGTTATGGCCGCTCCAAAGCGAGAAACGCGACTGCAAGCCAAATGGCAGCTATTCTCACTTCCTTCGAACTCTTTGGACGTTTTAGTTATATGGTTTGCTGTGAGGACGACGAGGCTCTCAGCATTGTCTACGGGTTACTCCGAGAGACACCTGGATCGTGGTCCAGGGGGGAAATCCTACCGCCTTCTTTGTCCGATTGGTCTCCTAATCGGAAGAAGCGAAGAAAGCTTGGTTTGTGCGAGTCCATGGCTTTGGTTTCGTATTTTACCAAGCATAACGAGCCCCCCTATTGATGCAACCGATGCTTCCACAGTCCACCATGATGACTTTCAACGTGGGACAGCAGGTTCATGAAAGGGGTGGTCAACCGTTGCCAGCAGCAAGAATCAAAGGAAATCAACGTCCACGGTTGCTATCGGTTGAATGGATGTGGCTGCCGGCTGCTTATTTCGTTGCTTCGCTATAGTGGAATGAAATAATCGTCCTTGTTTCTATGACAAATTGTGTATCATACGATTCTGTATGACATACTTGTATTCAAGAGAGTAACGCCTTGCTAGTACCTGATACCAACAGTGGAGAGACAGTTTGCTATCCCCATCAAGCTCCGTGGATGCCACTTTCCACGTTGTGGATCCACGATGAAGGCCCTGGCACCCACAACAAACAATGGTAACTAGAGCTAGCTGGGAGATTGTGACGAGAATGGATTCGATTCCCTGGGATGCGAGACAAGTTCTGTTGCAGCTTGAGCAGGTAATCTTGAATTACTGGAATGCTTGAGAGAGAATGGATGTCAATGGACCGCAGCGACTCTAAAAGAAGTCCAAAGTGAGGTCACCTCCTGATTCCTGATACCGTTAGGAGTTACTTGACCTTCAGTTCCTGACTCTTTTCCAGTAGTTCCTTGACTGTTGTGTCACAGGCAAACTGACGCGACCCAGTCAAAGACAACCGCTTCAGCAAGCTAGCATGCTTCGCAGTCAACATCTCCGCTTTTCTCATTGCACCCCAGTCGGCAAAACACCGAATCGCGTCGCTCATGTGGTGCCCAGCGGTGGCGTGGTCGCCCAACGAAACCAGGTACAACGCGAATCGTTCATTGGTAATCCCGGCATCCTGAAGAAATCCACCTCGAACAGCTACCGCAATCGCCTTGTTGTACAATTTCTGGGCCTGATAAGTATTGCCTTTAATTGCCGAATCCTCGGCATCAAGGATTGATACTTGATGGACCAAGTTGATGGCTCCAAGACTCACCCATTTCGAGAGTAACGAGCGTGCTTTCCTGGCAGCTTTGAGATACTTGCTATCTCCTGTTTGTCGGGCCACGGCGTAAAGGCAGATGGCTCGATAGAAAGGTTCAAAGCCGAAATATGCAGCACCTGCCCATGTCTGATAGAAAAGATCCCCCATGGACAACGCAAGCTCAGCTCCCTTCTCATACTCACCAAAGTAAGCACAAAGGTTGCAGATGTGATGCTTCCCAACCGTATTGAAAATAAACGGATGTCGTTCAAGGTCAAGCCCTTGCATGGCAGTCCCAGCCAGGCTCGTGGTTTGAGGGTTGTAGGGGGCACCAATGAGATTGAGAACCTTTTGATGCAAAAGACGCAAGCCCATCACGTACGTGTGAAGTTTCAGCCTCTCCAGTTCCGGAATGTACTTTCGCAAGTCTTCGTCAAGGCCAGCGAGTGAATTGGCGCCAGCAAAGAATTGGCTCATCACTAGAAACAGAACCGCCATTCCAACGCCTTCTATGTTCCCCGAAAGCATCCCCACAGTATAGGATTCGATGTAATCTGGTCGGCAAGCCCAAAGCGGCCGTACCCATCCCAAGACAAACGAGTTGACCTTGTGAAGAGTGCTCGTCTTGGTGTAATTCGAGCCAATGCGTCGCTCGATGCTCAATGCCAGCTCGGCAACCCTTGTCGCAGTCCTCCAATCCCCGTATTCGTGCATGATAACATTGGCAAAGGAAGCAAACGCGGAGGCCGAGAACTCTGTCAGGCCATATCTTTTGGTCCAGAGAACGCAACGGCAGCAAAGTAGCACGTAGAGCGGTTTGTTTTTGCTTCCCAGACCAAAGGAAGCTGCTTTGATCATGAAGGACAACGCCTCTCGCTTGCCTGGATCTTCGATTCGATCCATCTTGTCAACATCACTGGATGTTGGCAAATAGTACCGTTTGGTTTCCAGCATAGCCACGGTTGCATACACTTGTTGGATCTTTCGAAACCGCGGTAGTCTGCATCCAAGCTGACGCAAGATGCTTCTACATGTCTTCCATAACTCCTTGTAGTTGCCGTTGCTATACAATCGCTCCACAACGATATTGTTGACTCTCATTTTTGCCACAATGGGAATGTTCTTTTGTCGAGTCACTTCCTTGCAATACCAGTCCGATTTGTCACTGTTTCCAGCACATTCTTCGGCCTCGGCTCCGAGCGAGTGCAACAGTATTGCCAGTTTGGCATGATGGCTCCACATAATGTCGGCACTGGCATTCATGTTTCGAATGCCGTATTCGACGTAACGAACGGCGCATCGAAAGGCTGCCAATTCTTTGGCCTTTTCTGCCGCTCGGGCATTCAAGGCAGCCACATCCACGCTGCAGTTTCCGCTGTCATTGTTGTTGAGTAGATCCACCACCACAAAGAGCCATTGTTCGAGCTCGTCAGGCAACAAGTTCTGGTGAAGGCAATGCCCCATGATGCTACGGAATTCGCCCAGCTCTGCCAAAGGGACACGGCTCAAGCAGGCTTCTTGTATCGAATCATGCCCAAACCGATAGTATACGTCTCCTCCTCCTGCATCGTTGGACGATTTTGCCGCGTTTTGGTCTCCGACCTTTTCAATCATCATTTCAATTGCTGCCTGTTCGAGCAAGGCATCGACAGTCTCGTCAGTATTATTGGCCGGTAATAATAGACAATCGCGGTATTTTGGAATGTGCTTGTATACGTTGCCTTCATTATTCGTACTGGGATCATGATGCTGCGCCGCCGCCTTTTGCAGTCCCTCCCAAATAATGAGAATGGCACGACGGTCAAAGCTACTCCCCAGCAGGGACGCGACTTGGAGCAAGAGACTCATGGGTCCACGCTGACCTTCATCTCGTTTTAGTTTGGTTTGTATCAAGGAGACGACATTATCGGTGGCGGCCGATTCTCGTTCGACGGCCTTGTCGTGCCACGTCCACGAGAACGACCCGAGATCAAATTGTAAAATGTTGATTTCGTGCAACATTTTCAAAAAGACCTTGACAAAAAAGGCATTCCCCAGTGTTCGTTTGTAGCATATCTGTGCCAACTCCAAGGCTCGAGATGGCGGAACAGACAAGAGTTCTTCAATGAGTTGTTGGACGGATTCGAGGGATAGATTCCCAAGTGCGACCTGGGTCAGGTGAAAGGAAGCATCGTCTTTTTGGCTGTCTTCTGTGAGTTGTTGAATGGCTTGGACAAGAGGAGGGGATTGAGTTTGCGGTTCTTCTGCCGTGGTATCAACGTTGCTATTGTCGGCATCCAGATGATTGTCGTCTTTCTTCTTGTCTGTTTTATCGTCTTGTGATGATGAACTAATAATGTTGGACCGAAAGCATCCGACCAAGATTAGATTGTGAGGCATTTCTGAATCTCTGGCAATGGCCTGAAACATGTCCATGGATTGGGTATCACTCCATTGCAGGTCATCCATGACAAACACAAGAGGTGATCCATCACCCAGATCTGCGGCCATGATTCGTAAGAATGCTCGAATGGCGTATTGTAGCAATTGTTTGGAGTGACGCGGGTCGACGGTGGCGGCCAATCGTCGTTTGGCACTTATTGTGACAGGATCAGCACCACCACTGGTCAAACTGCTCTCGTAGGAAGAAATACTTTCCGGGAATCCCATGGACGGCCGTCTGGCTCGTCGATTGGTGGTGTTTGGATGTTGCTGGCGACTGGCACTGCGAATGAACCCTTGTAGTTGGCTCTGGTTGAAGGTATTGCGACGTCGCAGAGATGGTCGTCGGGCTCGTCGTGTGGTGGTTCCAGGATCTTCTGGTGTCTTGTCATTCGGATGATCAACTTGTTGGCAGTCGGAGGATGATGTTGACGGAAGAGAGAATTCCAAGATATGGACCAGGTTGGGTAGTATGGTGGTTTCCAGAAGACATAGCAGGGGTGCATCAATCTGTGCTTCCAATTGCTCCCGCATCTTGTAGAGTCTGTCTGGCTGACTTTGCTGATATCTCTGTACCATGTCGGTACACAGTTGATTGCAGGCTTTTCCAATCCCGGAGAGAGGGTGATTATTGATATTGGTACTACATGTACCAGTACTAGTAGTATTTTGTGTATGATTGTTTGTGAATTTCCCCCGTACAAAGGCTCCCTGTTTTGCCCAAACGGGTTCTTGGAGTGCCGTATTGGCGAGCGCCGTCTTGCCACACCCGGACGCCCCACTAATCAGGAGTACTTTCTTGGTGGGCAATGCCAATGACAAGAGGTGCTGGAGGGTCTGAATCTCCTTGGATCGTCCCACTAATCCTACCGACTCGAATTGGAGTTTGTTGATGGAATGCAACGCCTTGTCAATCCGTGCTTGTTTCTCTTGTTCCGCATGTGGCTGTACCAACGTAACTTCTGGAGTTACCAAGCCAAAACTGCGTCGTGCTTCTGTCTCCCCATTTTGGCTGGTACAAGTGGAACTGGTTGTATTACAGGAATTGCCAAAGGATCGACCGCCATGGTCGCTACTAGTACTCCGATTCCAACCTGCCGTTTCCGCCGTGACGGCATACTCTGAAGCAGTATTGGCACTCAGCTGCAATGACTTGCGAGTCTTGGACAGCATCTCGTGGATCAACGGTAACGACTGCCTGCTAATCGGCGCCTGACGTTTGGTGAGTTTGGTCGAGTGGACCGAAGAGCCAGACAAGCCAACCTCTGCTTCATTTCCGTCACTGTCGTTCCTCTTCAGCTTCATCGATGAGATAAAGGTAAAGGTATGGAATAGTATTTATTTGCTTGGCAAGGAACACAAGGACATGTTGAGATGTTGAGCTCTTGTGCTTTGCTGCAGTCTGCAGTCCGGCCACTTCGGGAGTAGATCTACCGTGAGCAAGTCAGAACACGTGCAGTAGGCACCTTGATCCTGAAGGATCTTGCTATATGTCACTAGCACTCTTTCCCTACCGGTACGGTACTACCGGTAGTACTCGAAACCCCCACATCTCTTAATTAAAAAAGGAAGACGTTGTCCTCCTTCGGTTTCCATCGAAGACCACATTTTAAAAATCATGACATGAAGTTGACGTGCGTACTCATTAATTCCATGATGCAGGCACTAGTACATGTACCATCCACAATAAGTTGGGTTGGTTTTGCGGCTCGAGCTCGTGGTCGGTGGTCTGACTGCTGCTGCATGCTTGCCACCAGTAGCTCTAGCTAGCTATTATCTAGCTAGCCAGCCGGGTGTGCATGGTTCATTCTTCCGAGCGCGAGATGGAGAACCAGCCCCTTCTTTCCGGTTGCTGGCTGGCTACGGTGCCAGCCAACTACAGTACTGTACCAGGAACCAGTGTTTGTTCTGTCTATATGGTATATGAAGAGTGTGCCACCACTTTGAATTATGTATGTATGTGATTGTAAAGACAAAACTATCCACATGTACATTCAGAACATGCACACTCCACGGGAAACGGATCCGGGTCACAGTCAACGTAAATTCCTATACCCACGTTGGAACACAAACTGCTTGGGAGACTTCCAGAGAACTGGTTGCCATACAAATACAAACCGTACAGCCTTGTCAGCAATCCCAGCTCGGATGAAATTGTGCCTGATAATCGGTTGTTTGCAACCCACACTGCTCGCACACTGGACATCAAGCCAATTTCTGTAGGAATGCTGCCAGAAAACCCATTGCCATCCAACTGCAATTTGGTCACACTTGTCAGCAACCCCAGTTCGGATGGGAGGCTGCCAGATAATTGGTTACTATTGAGATCCAAGGAAGTCACACTTGTCAGCAAACCAATTTCCGATGGGAGGCTGCCAGATAAGTCCTTGAAACGAAATCCAATAGCTGTCAATGAAGTCATCAAACCAATCTCAGATGGTAAACTGCCTCCTGACAATGAAGGTGACAGCCAGCCAAGAGAAGTCAATCCTGTCATCAATCCTATCTCGGTTGGGATGGTGCCATCTTGCAAGAACAAATCAGCCCACAAACCAGCAGAATCTGTCATCAAACCAAGTTCTGTAGGAAAGATTGCCTGAAATTGGTTGTCCGCAAGTTTCAAAAGAGTTAATGCAGACAACAAGCCAATCTCGGAAGGAATGACGCCTGAAAGGTTGTTTTTTCGGAGATCCAGAGAACGCAATGCTGTCAACCGCCCCACCTCAGATGGGACCTCTCCCACCAATTGGTTGTAGCCCAAGTCCAAGGAGGTTACACTTGTCAGCAACCCCAGTTCGGATGGGAGGCTGCCATATAAGCCCTTGCGACGACATCCAATGACGGTCAATGAAGTCATCAAACCAATCTCAGATGGTATACTGCCTCCTGACACTGAAGGTAACAGCCAGTCAAGAGAAGTCCTTCCTGTCATCAATCCTATCTCGGTTGGGATGGTTCCTTCTTCCAAGAAAAAATCCGTCCACAAATCAGCAGCAGCTGCCAACTTGCCAATTTCTGTAGGAAAGATTGCCTGAAATTGGTTGTCCGCAAGGTCCAAAAGAGTCAATTCGGACAACAATCCAATCTCGGAAGGAATGATGCCTAAAAGGTTGTTTTTTCGGAGATCGAGAGAACGCAATGCTGTCAACATCCCCACCTCAGATGGGACCTCTCCCACCAATTGGTTGTGGCCCAAGTCCAAGGAAGTCAATGCTGTCAACCGCCCTACCTCAGATGGGACCTCTCCCATGAATTGGTTGCGGCTCAAGTCCAAGGAAGTCAATGCTGTTAACCGCCCTACCTCAGATGGGACCTCTCCCACAAATTGGTTGCGGCCCAAGTCCAAGTCTACTAGAGCTGCCATCAAACCAATTTCCAAAGGGAGAGGGTCAGATAACCGGTTGTTGTACAGGTCCAAGACTTGGAGATTGGTCCAGTCAAATAGCTCTGGAGGTAGGCTTCCCTCTAGACGGCAGTTAATGCAATGGAACACTTCCAGGGACTGGAAAAGCTTTGACTCATGGATTGGCAGCAGATCTGCCATGTGGTTGGCCATAATGTTATCAGACAAGTCCAAAACTTTCAAGCTTCCAAGCAATGATAGCTCCAATGGAACTGATCCCTTGAAACCTCTCTGTTTTGTCACTCTGATCTCTGTCACACGGTCACCAGAGGAACAATACACATCATTCACTATGGCGCCTATGCGGGAGACACCCCACCCACATTCATTGGTTTCATAGCTAAGCCACACATTTTTGGCTTGAAGATTTGGGAACGTCCATTTAGGGCCATCACATGCGTAGTAGAAGGTGGCCAAAGCAAATCTCTGTTCCTGTTGCCACACTTCATAGGTTGCTAGGTTGGGATCACGAGTCAACCAGGCATATGCTTTGAATTGTGGTGATTCTTGATCATTAGCAATGGATTCCCTCGTGGAATTAGGGGCATTGGAAAGTAGCGCCTTATCGATACTGCTTTCTTGGTTGTTCTCCATTTTTTGGGATTCTCCATTTCCCGCTCCAACAGCAAGTGGAATGGCAATGGCCAGAATGATAACTAACACCAGTACAGCAATTGCCACCCCCATCATCACTGGATTTCTTTTCTTATCCTCCAAAGTCTTGGTAGCAGTATTGACTTCTGCCTCTTCTATTTGTCCTGGTGGTGTCTCTTGCATTGGCTGAGAAGATTGTCCCAACACATCCAACCTCACTGGTTCCACGGCTTGATAGTTGGCACCTGGTGCTCCTGAATAAGCACCAGGAGTAACAGATCCTGGTGGTAGGCTGTGCTTGGTCATAGGACGCCCAGCTTGGTGGTCATATACAATGCCTGCAGCTGGATTTGACGCAGGATTATTTGCAACAGCATCACCAGCAGCATCAGGAGGAGCCGTATTATCTGCTGTTGCTGCCATGCTGGGCGTAGCATCATCGTCAACACTTCTTTGCGCAACAATGGCCATGAGATTGACGGAATCCCCTTTTTCAGAAACATAATCACCAGGATTGAAAGCTTGCGTTCCAACCTCCTCAGGGTTGTTGCTCTTGCCAGTGCTTTCTGCCAATTCTGCCTCTTCTCTGCTGGCAACGGCAGACCGCTCAGCTACAACTTTCAAAAGGGCAAGCTCGTCTTTTTGCCTTTGATCGTCATCCTCAGTAGTGTTCGTACCGACTGCTTTAGTGGTAACAGTATCAGGTGCTTTCTTCCTTGTATTGGCATATTGACGTCTAACAACTGCCGGTGCCGGAACAGAGCCAACATTGTCATTATTGTTCTTTTTTTCTGCTGCTCGTCTGAGTAGCTCTTCCTGCTTGATGTCTTCCGCAGTCTTGGTGGCAGTTTGGCTTCGCTCAAGGACAAGCTGATTCAAGGAGAGATCACTATCCAAGGCTGCCTCCTCTTGGCTATTTGGAAGGTGAGGATGGGCGGATGACATGGTGATGATTTGCTGGTTTGTTTTAAGGTAAAGTTATGGTGGAGAAAAGAGCACCACCGGCTGCTGGGATGAATGGCAACACCGCGGTCTGGAGGCAATGAGAGTGCCAACAAATTTCGCCTTTCCTTTTCCCGTTACTGCCAGTGATCGACGCCGTAACACTTCCTTTCCATTGTCAAAGACTTCGGCATTATGACTTCCAAGTGTGGATGAATTCCTACATGTTGGAATGACCTTCAAGCCAGGCGTACCGGTACTCTTTAAATAATAGAGGCATTGTTTTCCTGTGGTTGCCAGAGAGAAGCTTTGCAGAAACATTATAATTATCATTTGTTTCGGATGCCTTTGGCGGCGACGGAGCTGAGTGACTGAGTCAGTCATCGTAGTCATTTGAGAACTCTAATAATTAATTGATTGCGGATTAGGGTTGGAGCGGAAGGATCAGTCACTCGGAGGTTCTGCTGCGGTTGTGCCAGCACTTGAACATGCTGAGGTGGCACAAACTCCAGTTGTTTTTTGCTCTGCTCATTTCCAATGCTGAACTTGCCGCATTGCTTGTGTCGGCAAAGGGAGCATCATCAATAATCGCAGGGCAGCACGCGTCAGGATGATACAGCACAGAGGAGACCGGGACGTGCATGGTTTGGGTGCTTTTGCCTGCTTGCGTGCAGCGTCCGTCCACACGTTTAGCGTCCATCACAAGAACACGATACCGCAGCTTTCGCTCGGCGCAAGCTCGTCAACTACAGTTTGCAAGTCAGGGCAAGTATGCAAATCAGGGCAAAAGCAGCCATGGTACTTTTTCTTCCAGATAGTTCTCCATTGAAATACCACCTCTGCCATCATTGGTACCCGTAATGGTGAGGGAAAGTGGTACGATATTTCGACGAACCCCGTGATGGGACTCGCGGATGCTCTTTCTCGGTGCACCCACATGGGTAAAATTCACGACCTACTACGTTGACTGTGAGCAAGCCAACACTCGCCACCTACGAGCATGTACATCATTGACTAGCCGAAGCGGTTATGCTCCATTGCGCAACAGGAGCTCCCGTGCTTCCAAGTGTTCCAACACTACTCCCTTCAAAAGTTTCAGTTGATCTTTGCAAATGAAACATGCCACAATAGCTTCACAAACAACTACTTTTGATGCATGTACCTACTATGATACTTTATGCCCAAGCAATCTCATCATCTCTATCATCCACAAGCCCCAAGCATTGAATTGCCACCAACTCACACAATTTAGGTATGCCTTTGGTACCTTTTATGACCTCGTTGCGATGATTGTTGGACTGCTTCTGGTGACATTCGCTTGGAGGAAGCTGCTGCCAGTGACTCCCCGTCCGACCCAGTTGAACCACCCGAGACTGAGCCATCGGAGGAGGGGGCTGCCTTGTTTTTGCTGGGGCTGCTCGATTGGGGCTTGTTGCGTGTATTTCGGTAAAAATGGGAGATCTGGAGTTCGAGAGAGACAGAATTTTAAAATTGAATAGATCAGTAACAATGTGTGTGCTTGTCAAAAGCTTGATTCTTTTTGTACCCACCTTATTCCTTGCAGTTTGTTGGTCCACTTCCACCCATGCATCATCTTCCCATTTCAAAAACCGTCCTTGTGATTCCCTGATAATTTTGACAATGCGTTCAGCAATTGCTGTCTTTTCGTACTTTCCCGCAGCCTCATACTTGTCCCGAAACATGTCGGCAATGTGCGCAGCCCGTAAGTTTCCTGTATGATTCCTAGTATGATGTCCTCGCCCAAAGAGGACATCGAATCGACGGGGGACGATGATATCAACTGTATTGTTGTTGCCTTTTTCTTCCTGTTTGCGTCGGCTTTGAATCCATTGAAGATGATTCTCAAGATTCATGGGTCCATTTGCATTAAATGGGAGACAATCAGTTGGGATTCCAAAGGTCTGCAATTCGAATATGAGCTGTTGAAAGTCCCCAAAGTGGACACGCGTTCGAGCCCTGAGATGCTCGTGGATGAACCAACGAATACCACCAACCAACGGACGTAGATATTCTTGGCCGAGCAGGAAATGGATGCCAGAAACCTTGCGTGGGATCCCAGGCCTGAGCTTTTTCATTCGCTGTACTTGGGTAAATATATTTTGTTGCACTTGCAGCAGTGATTGCCCGGACCACCACATCACAGCAACAATGCCCTTCTTTTGAGCATCCTCAGTTTGGAGGATGGACATCAAGAAAAACATGATAGCACGTAGCTGCATTTGAATCAGAAATAATCACACAATATCAGGGACCAAAATGTGGATACCAAGAGCTTGCTGTTCCACTTCAAATCCCAATTTACTTACATGGCATTCCACAGCCAGAGATTCAACTCGGCAACTTGGTGATACTAACATGACCAGACGGCCAGCAACATCACGCACAGGCAAAAGCTGCCAGGCTCCTGATTTCAAAACCGTCATGTCATCTTCATTGAGATCACTCATACACAGCTTTCGGGCCAAGGCCGGTCCATCACCAAACACTTCCCTCTTGACCTCAAAATGTGTTACTATTCTTTGTGCCGATGCCTTGACATCAAACTCATCGCACCGAAGAAACATGAGCCGAAATTCCCGACCAATCACATATTCTTCGTTCAAGTACTTGGCTTTTTCATAGGCTTTTCGGTCTGGTATCTTTCGAATTTCCAGCTCCAACTGCTCTAGCAGCTCATCAATGTTCTCGGGATCATGATATTCATGGGCCATCCCATGGATGTCAAATGCGGTACGCTCTTTTTCTTCAAACGACAGCTTCTCAAGATCATCAGCCAAGAGCTTATCAATCAGATCTGCCTCATCAGAAGACTGAGGGAAACGCTCCAAGGAAAGACCTGCTTCCTGAAAGGTCTTGTCTCTTTGAACACCCAATTCTCGAGCCACAAAGTCTACTTCTGACGACGTGGTATCAAGAGCCACCAGATCACCGCTGCTTCCATCGGTAGTGGTTTTAATTGGAATTGATAGAGAAGGCTTCATGGTCAACATCGCGGGCAAACAGGAGTGATGGGACTGGTACGAAGACAAATTTATGAAAGAAGGAAGGAAGGCAGCCTGAGGCCCAGAGAGGGTTGGTCGGACTTCAAGCCTCAAGTCGTGCTGCGTGCAGCTGCATGCAGGGTATACTAGCGTTACTTCTTTGCGCTATGAGTTCTAAGAACTTCGGCTGTACTTCTTACTTCAGTACGGTACAGTATTCGAATAATTTTGTACCGTACGGCCGTACGGTAAGTAGAAGTCGGACCACCAAACCACCATTACTAATAGTACAGCTAGCTAGTAATGTACTATAAAACTGACTGTACAAATGAACTGGCAAAGAAATTCAGGGAATAGAGGGGGGAACAAACGCATCCGAATCTGCCATGCAATAATCATGTCGTGGTACCGGTTTCGCAAGCATCTGTAGACTGTAGAAACTGGATGAAGTTGCATGAACTGAAAAGAAAGACTTCCTTATTTTGGCAATCGTAAATCTCACCTTGACCGGAAAGAGGTTACTAAAGCTTTTCCAAAGTTTCAGAAATCCAATCTTGGGGATGAATTAGAATGAATAATCAATAAGATGATGACAACATGCTAACAAAGAACAAAGACCCTGATGAACTTACCAAGCTCATGAACTATTGCATATTGCATCATTCAATGGGCTTCCTCAGGAGGATCTGAAGAGCGATTGAGTTGTCGCGTACGAATACCAAACTCAAGATACTACAATGTCATGTACTGGCTAGCTAGGCATGTAGTTGCTTACTGAGTACACTTAGTACCGGTACTTGTTTGCTGCTACATGTACTATATAGTACTAGAGAAGTCAAAAACGTCAGGCAGGATCACTCGAGCTGGCTAGGTGGGTGGCAGCGCTAGAAGGGCGGGATCTAGTTTGGGCCCTACATGTATCTCACCTATCAACCATGCCCCATCTTGATCACTAATTTGTTTGCTTGAACGGTAGATAATGCGTTTGAGAGAGAATAGCCAAAGGTGAATGGAATCCTTCTTGCAAACTTTTGGTTTTAGTGGATTGCAGACTCAGTCAAGAATGTCTATCTCTTGTGCAGCGGCTACCGGTTGGGTACGGGTACGACTGTACCGGTAGCTATTTTAAAATAGCTAGCTCGATGTTTGATGAAGAATTCGCACAAGATTCAATGGCATCGATTGGACTTGACCACGGATTTCGCAGATCGTGGAACGTGGATTTCTCTTGCCCGCATCCTCCCCATCCTCCATTGCCGAGCGTAATGCAAAGTAACTTGTTGCAGCTCTTGTTGCCATCCGCACGAGCCAAATCTCAAGTTCGAGTTGATTGATGTACAGCAATTTTATGCAAGAAATCGTTACAGATGCACTGTAGTTCCGACCTGAATTGTTTTTATGAAGTTTTATAATGATTAGATATCTTCTTCTCATTTGAGAAGCTTCCATAGCATAGCCACCGAGACAAATGTAGTGTACATGAATTTTGAGACTGTCAGTGGTTGGTTGGTGCAGCCACCTGTATAACTTTTTCTGCATCCCCTACAGAAAGAGCTTTTACATTGCATTGCATCAAATAGTCAATGGAGGACTAAAACTTTGTTTTTTCTTTGGCCACCAGATCCCGTAGTGTGTCATGGCGCGCCTTGAGCTCCCCATGCAGACCCGCATAGTTGGGGTCCAATATCACGTCATTTTCTTCCATGGGATCACTGGTGAGGTTAAAGAGTTGCTCGACACCCCAATTGGGCCATTGAATGTATTTGATATCTTTTCGGACCAGAGCCGACGACGCCGGAATGACGTTCTGGTGCAAGTGAATTGGGTGTTCGTAAAAGAACTCGGTTCTCCAGGGTGGTGTTGCTGATTTTTGTGGTAGATACAAATCGGAGATATCCCTTCCTTGATAGGTTTCTGGCACGTCAATGTTGGCAGCTCCCAATATGGTCGGAGCAAGATCAATGTTGAGTGTGAACGAGTCATCGGTGGTCCCCTGCTTTTCGGTTGGCATGCGAGGATCGTAAATGATCAAGGGAACTCTGGGAGATAAAAAGCGGGCAAAACAAGTGTGAGAGACGCCAAACACGAAAGGATTGGATGTTATGAAGCACACGCAACGCAAACGCACCGTATCGACTCTTCGTGCGGATACCATTTCCCCGCCAATCCATGTTCCCCATGATAAAATCCATTGTCGGTCGTAAAGACAAAGAGCGTATTGTTGAGAATGCCTTGCGCTTCCAGTTCGTCCCATACTTTTTGACACGCCCCGTCGACTTCACTAATGAGTCGAAAGTAGTTTTTCAGCATTTTGTCGTATTTGGTCGGTTCATCGAATCGTTGGCGCCATCGCGTGCGTCCTTCGTTTCGTTCGGAAATGACCTTGCGGGGGAGTCGTTTATAGGATGCGTCCATATCGACGGGTGCACGCAATGTAATGTTCTGATAGAGCGACAAGGATTTGTTTTGGGGGAGAAATTGTTCCGGATTGCCATCCCACGAATGGGGTGCAAAAAATGCCACCGTCAAGACAAATGGTTTTTCTTTGGGTCGTTTTTTCAACGCCTCAATGGCATCGTTTTCATTGCGTTCCGTGACATGAATGGGTCGAGGATTGCCGGGAAACCAGTGTTTGCCGTAATATACTTTTTGATGATCATACGTCCCTTTCACTTTACCCCAATCGGCGGAATGCCATTTCCCAATATGACTGACCCAATAATCTCTCTTGTGTTTGAGCAAGGATGGATAAGTATCGTGCCACATGTCGTACCATCCATTGTCTCTGGGTCGCGTGGCTTGATGTCGACTGTAGTATTGTCCCGTGTGCAATGTGGCGCGACTGATCCAACAGACACTGGTGGTGACGCAATTGTGGGTAAAGCGGATTCCCTTGGTGCGGGATAACCAGTCGAGAAAGGGGGTATGGACCGGTAGTGTTCCCGCCACGCCCTTTAGACAGATAGAGAAAGGATAGAAAGAAGGGAGGGAGGGATAAAATTGAAATGAGTTTTGCTTTGTATTGTACTGTACAAGAAAGCGTTTCTAAAGATGTACATGTAAATGTACCTACCAGTGAGTCATGTCTCCAATCATCAGCATAGAGTATTACCACATTCATGGGCTTTTTCTCTTCCTCTGGTTCCTTACTAGTAGTAGATTGTTCTTGTTCTTGTGATTCTTCTTGTGGTTTGGCACTACTACTACTACTACTACTACTAGCAGTGTCTTGTGGCTTATTGTGGTTGTTGCTGTCCTTGTCTTCTACTTTCTCATTGGCTTTCTTCTTGGGTTCACTGTCCACTGATTTCTTGGTACCATTGTCTTTCCCATTGTCTTTATCTGATTTTAGTTTCAGTTTCAGTTTCTCATTGACTTGGTCAATTTCTCGTTGCTGTGCTGAAAAGTCAGGGGTATCAGGGGTATCAGATGTAGTACCAGTTGTAGTGACTGAAGTTTTGGCAATGGCGGATGTGTCTAAACGGGAAGGGGCAAACTCCACCTGCAATTCTCCCTGTCCTTGTAGCGGAATAATCCCAGAAGCATCGGTGCCATCACTGGTAGAAAAATAGGAAGATCGGTAGATACTCAAAGTGGCAGTAAAGATGAGACCAAAGAAAAAGATATACGCTTTCTGGTTGATCCGTCTGCCGCCATTGCCACTGTCTCCTAGCAACGGTCGATCCATCCTATCCTATCGTATAGCTAGCTTGACACTAGCTAGCTGTTGTCAATGGTTGCTTTGCTTGGTTGGAACCTCCTTATTGTTAGTGTTTGTTTGCCAGGTGTGTTGTTGTTGTGGCCTAGCTAGATTGAGAAAGTATGGACGTTGGATGGTCATCGGATGACCCGGAAGCAACTTTTTGCGATTGCCTTCTCAATGAAGATCGTGGAGCGTGGAAACGTAAATAGTGATAGTATCCACGAATCGATGCACCGATCGGGACGAGCCAATGGCACTCACACAGTGTCTGCGTGCATTTCTTCAAGCACCATCAAGACTACAACTGTACTTGGACTGCTTGGGTTCCCGTAATAGCGACCTCACCCACAAATTGAGATGTACATGTAGCTCCTACTGTACCGTCAATTGAGCCACTGTGTAATACGGTACCTGGCTTTGATGCCCAAGAAAGCGATCTTGTTTTGTTTGCCCCTCATCAACATCTTCTTCTACACCATGTATCGGTACTATATTTGACAAGACTCTTCTCGACATGATTTGCTTTCGTGTTCCAGACCTCCTCTTTCCTCCTCCCTTCTCACAATCTTGCTTTGAGGCACAATTTAGAAACCAACAAACCAACAAACCAACAATCCACTCAATAGATCAGCTCACATCATTAGAATGAACTTCTTTCCCAGACGAATCAAACAGAATCAGCAGCAGCAGCAGCAGCAGCAGCTCAAGAAAGAATCTTCCAGCAGGCCTCCTCTACGAGAGTCTATTAGATCCAAAATGCGGTCCCTAACGAATATCCGTCTGCTACCACGCGAACTGGATGATTTGGGAGCTTTCTATAGCTTATGAGCTACTGTCCACAAGTTCACAACAAGCAATCCATGCCGCTTGCAAGCAATCCATTCCGATTCAGCTGCATCCCTCTGTGGTTCGTTGTTGCTGGCTTGGCTTGAGGCGATCATCGCGTGCAAAAGCAACGGCGTGAACAAATGAACAAACTACTGGATCCGGCAACATGGGCAAAAGGATAAGAACTTTTTATAGATTCAGGTGGTAGCTGTGGTATGTAAAACTAATTTCTCAATTTTAAATATTCAAAGCTTCTGGCCCCTCGACACTCGACTCGACTCGACTCACAAAGGAAACAATACATGCATGACATCATCATCGCCTCGTCGTTTGATTTTGATGTTGACACGCACCCACCTTCAGCCCACCTTCTCAGCAAAGGAAACGTCCCGCAACAAGTTGCCCGCTGTTCGATCATCAATTTCCCATCCAGTTTCAGGAAGCCAGAACAAAAGGTCGCTCGTTGTCTGGATCTAACTAAGCAAGGCAGCCGATTATGGTTTTGCGAACAAGTCATGCTGAGTAGCTCTTTTCCTTTCATGAAAGGTAGCTAATGTTGGTTCTTCTGTCTTCAGGGCTTGTTTCGTCTAAGCAAAGAATCGTGGCGCCTCAAGCCATTGTCTCTTCGTCGTAGTAGTCAGATCTGCGCAATGCATGTGTTGGCCACTCCAAATCTCCACATGCTCCTGCTTTCCCTTGTCATGGTCCGAGGCATCGACCACGACGGCGATCCCATTCGAACGACCCGGATGCCTGGTGCAACACTTGGGAGCCGAACGAGTGACGAGACGAGTAACCGTCTACTAGCCAGAGCTCTACTCGCCACTCGTTGCCAGTGAAACTCCGAACACAGCTGACCACGTGGCTCCCAAATATCATTTATTGCTGTACAACCGCGACCACGTGGTTCTTCTTTTCGCTTTTCGCAGCTTTCGGATTCCGGAGCTTTTGAATGTGAAAGACGAAGACCCAAGACTTGCTGCACATTAATGCACATACATCGGACAATACTAGAGTACTGTAGCAGCTGAATAGCAAAGCTTACTCAGAGCACAGGTGAATGGTTAGGGCTTCACAAGCCTATCCCCACGCACACACGTGGAAAGTGAGTTTGGAAGGCCCTCACAGCTTGCTGGCTGGTTCTTTGTTGAGGGCAATTGCTGGTAGCTCCGGCAACTCAACAGGAACTTGAGATTCAATTTTGATGCCGTCGGATGGCAACACTAAGCTGTTATCCGTGTCATTGCTCGCGGTTGGGAAAATGCAGCCAGGAATCATGCAGCCATGGCAAATGATCCAGAGAGAGTTTTGGGTGCGGCCGGAGACCTGGAATTCCACGCTCCACGATCTCGGGAAAAGTGCGTTGGGAATGTACATTAGAGACACCAGCTATGCATATCTGATGGCTGGTACCTGGTAGCACCTGTAGGTGGTGGCTAGGTCTAGTTTATACTAATGAAAGGGTTCGCTTTGAAATCGAATAAATCTTTAAGTATGAATACATGTACCGGTATACAGTATGCAACTGGTCGCTGCTGTCTATCCTTGCTTCCGCAAATAGTGTTGATACCCCTCTTCCCCGGATGTTGACGACGCGATAGTTTGCGCCGAGTGTGGTTCTTGTTCGTTGTTGGTTTCCGCAAAAGGAGGATGCGGTATGGAACCGTGGAGGTGGTGGTGCGAGGTGGAGTCAACTTGCACATCTGTTTGCTCTTGGTGCCCCAGGCCGTATTCTAGTGGCTCCTGGAGGTTATCATTTTCGTCAGGTTGCAAGTGCGTGCTCACTTCGAGTTGCTCGCTGGCATCGAGTTGTTCCCGTTCCAATTCTTGTATAAACTCTTTCAAAAATCTCTCGTTGTGTTCTTGTGGATGGCAATGGCTGCTGCTGCTGTTGCCATAGAACGGATCCACAATCTCCACTACTTGTTCTTTGGACAGTACAACGGTTGTATTCTGAAAAGATGTCGCAGCGGTGGATGTGGCATGTCCCAACTCGCAGCGGGAGCACTTGTCATCGTGTTGCAGCATGCCACTGGTGTGGGAAGTAGAACCGTGGAGGTCCTCTGCCGTGCGGAGTTCGCTCTGCATCCACCGGAGTTCCGATTGGAATTTGCGTTTTGGCGGCCGCGTCATGGAGATGAATCCGTAGAAGGATCGAGAAAACGATCTTGACGGCGCAGTGGTGGACGCTGTAGTGGGCGCCGTGTTGTTGGAGTTTCCAAACGAAATGGCGCCTCGTCGATTCTTGATGTAGTCCACCATTTTGCAAAGGACATTGACTTCGAGACGTATTCTCAACGAGTAAACGAGTCCTTTCACACACGTAGACTCTAGGTCTCCCATGAACAAGTTGAGCAACACTGATACCAAATCACAGCATCCCACCAGTACCAGCATGATCATACCATGTCGCTCGACGGCCGTCCATCGGTACTTCCACATTTGCACGATAAAGGCTCCCGAGAGGCAAAACTCAATGACCCCGAGCAATGCAATTTGTACGGGTTCGACAATGCCGACAATGCGATCCAAGACGGGACTTTCTGATACATTCCACGCCACGGCCCAGGTGGTCCCTATGGCAATGCAACAGGGAATCAAAATATAGTTGATCCAGAGCAATCGTTTCCATGCCTGCTTGGGGTTCCTGAAGGTCAAGGACAGTCGCTGGGAGACCAAGAGGATGGACGACTGGGTCATGACCATCCAGTTGACCACCACCACCACGGCCACACCGAATTCCAAGTTGGGGGCCATCAGATTGTTGAAGAAACACAGCAGTGTGTGAATCATGGAGGAACTGGCCGCGATCGTTACCAACACATTGTACTGATTCGTCTTCTCCAACAGCTTCTTCTCCAAGAGACCCTTGTCAAGGCACCATTGGATCGTACTGCCCGCCAGAAACGTTGAGGCAATCGTAGATGCAAACAGCAGACCAAGCGTCGTCGGAGAGAGATCTGTCGTCAACGGCATACTGAATACTGAACTAGCTACTAGTAGAGATATGATCTACAAAAGACTGATAACTAGATTGTCTTGCTCAATGGATGTGGCCACTTGCCACATGCATTTTTTCCCAAACGGATCCGTAGTACCGTGAGCTGCGGTACTGTCCCACCATCTTACTGCAGTTAGCTGTACAGCCGCTTACTACCGAGGTACTGTACTCTGTACTCCACTTTTAATTAAACGGAAAGGGATCACAATACTTACATTGGCAGCTGCATCACAAAATAACATGTAGGTCCGACTAGATTTAACGACGACTCTTCAGCCACGTGGCGCATGACTTGACCTATTAGAAGCAACAATTTTAAAATTATGTGCAGCTCTAACAGGGAGGCTCAGGACCTCACAGGATTGATACCAGAGTGTACCAGACACCAGCCTGACTTACATTGTCATGTAAATGTAGATAAAACACCCCGGACGCCCAATCATCCACCTTGTATTGCCACGGTTTCACCTTCCAAATCTCCGTTTGGTCTTTCGCCTTTCTTTTGTGAATGGCTAAGCCCAGCTCCAGGCCCCAACAGCTCCCCAACCCACCAGATCCTTAAAAAATCACACGCATGTGGTATTTCGGCAACAACAGCTAGCTAGTACGTTGTTTCCATCGAGACCCAAGCAAGCTAGCTAGAAGTTGCGAACTTTCTGCCATCAATCAAAATTGGACCACAGGAACATTGAGTGCAAGAACATTCCACGAGAAACGGGTCTGGAGCACAATCCACACGGATACTCTCAAAATTTTCATTCAAACACAGGCTGCTTGACACGCTTCCAGATAGCTGGTTGTCGTAAAAAGACAATCGAGCCAAGCTTGTTAGCAACCCCAGTTCTTAGGGCATGGAACAAGCCACGAAGGAAAGATCGCCGCCCAAGAGCTCAGGGGCTGGAGAGGGATTGATAGGGTGAGGAGGGAGAGGGGGGAGGTGGAAATAGGATGACCGGCAGGGATAGTAGGGGCGAAAGTGACGGGGATTTCTCAACACAAGACAGCCATGCCCGTTGGAAGAGCGTTTGTCAGATGATCTCTACAAAGCTAGTAAAGGCGAAAGTCCTAGATTAATCGAACATGAAACTGAAACTAAATTAGGGTCAAGAGCAGCGTTCAACGATTCGTCCTGCTTTTTATTGGGCCGCTGCAACCATCATAATCCCCGCAACTCCCACCAAAGGAAGAACAGCACTTTGGAAACTGACGGCAGAAGACTCTCCAGTGCTGGAGAGTCTTGGGGCTAGTGTTTGAGCTTCAGGCACTTTGCAGATATCTGGAATGGCCAATCCACCCCATGCTGCACCGACACAGGTGCCATCGTCTCCATTGGGACAGTTGGCAGTGCAGATGGTTCCTCTTGACCAAGCACACTGAGCAGTCAAACAAGCTTCACAATCATTGATATTACCACAGCCAACTGCAGCACCCGGTTTGGCTTCGGCAAGGTCACAGATGGCAGACTTGTCATAGCCTAGCCCTCCCCAGTTGGGGCCCACACAGTTGACTCCACTGGTGCATGTTTCTGTACAGGAGGTTCCACCCGCCCAAACACAAACGTTGGAGGATATGCATGTTAGACAATCCGCTCGTTCAGGACAGGAGATATCATCTGCTGGTTTTTGGGCTTCTGGAAGGGCGCAAATTGCTGCCTTGTCGTCGCCCATACCTACGGTGGAGGGGAAAAGGCTCGTTTAGTAAGCACGGAAGCAAGGCAATAATGACAGGTAGATAGATAAAGGACAGACTTACCACCATAGTTTGGTGTCACACAGCTGGTACAACTCTTGTCAGTACAATAGAACCCAAGTTCCCAACTACAGGTTCCACTAGGACTGGAAAGACAGCTCTCACAGTCCTGCAAATACCAGCATGGATTGTTAACTGGTGCCGCACAATCTGTTTCGCTCCATCGTGCTGCATTAGCAAGGCACTGATTTTACGGTGGTAAAAAGAAGCCGCGAGAGTGAGCAAGGGAGTTCTTAATTTGACACCGTACCAACTAGCTGGAAAGGAGTGTTTACCTGATTGTAGTATGGACACTGTTTGGATAGAAGGAACGCGCGTGAGAGCATTCAAGACGATGTTTTCGTATGATCCATCTTTCAATCGTTGCATCTTACATTGTTGGGGCCGCATTCCACCGGGCTGACATTGGAAGTACAGGGTGTAGTGACGCTACTTGAGTCAGGAATAGGGCAACACTGGGTTTCCATGAATCCTGCAGCGGTCCCGGAGCAAGGGCTGGAATAAACACACTGAGCGTTGTTGCCGTCCGAGCACTGTACCGGGTTGCTTTCGGCGGTGCATACAACACCATCCCTGGGAGCTGGGCAACAATCCGTGTCCACAAAACCAGAAGATGTAGCCAAACAAATGTTATCGTATCTACAGAATCAACACAGGAGGACAACAATGTGTGAGCCACATTGGACATGTAGGCTGTCTCAACACTCATTTGGCCTTCTTACATGCAGCTGTCTGCACCACACTGGACAGGATTGATATCCGCCGTGCAGGCAACAGTCCCAGAAGGGACAGGGCATTGTGCCGTCACAGATGAAACCGCAAAGGCAAGGGTGGCAACGAAGGTAAGCTTCATCTTGGCTGTTTTTGAATACAAACTAACTCAATTGCTTTTCTGTTTGTTGATATGAGCTTTGCAGCCAACAGCGTCAAAGTTGGTAGGATTGACTTCGGATTGTTAGCCACAGATGGTACCAGCAAGCAACAAGCAAGGTTGCAGCAGATCAAATCGAGTTGTCAATGGTGGCAGGCTTGTAGATTCGGAAAGTGTCACCATTCGTGTAGAACTGGATCTCTAGCTAGATCTTTCTTGGATTTTTGTGGCCCTATGTCCTCGGTTCTCGTTGTATGTGTGTTGGTCAATTGCTCCTTTGGTTGCAAGGCAACAAGACTTAGACTAGTCTACTAGTCTACTAGCTAGTACTAGCTAGAGTAGCAAAGGATGAAATAAATTGTTGAGAGGAAAATTCGTGACATGTGCCGTAAGCTGTCGTAGCTTTTTTAAAAAGCTAGATTTCCTGAACCCGCAAGCCAACGAAGCAAGGTTTCTTGAGGTTGAGAGGATTGAATCAATCATTCGATCGAGCCGCTATCAAGCTAACTATCGGAGTTGCAGATGTCGAAGAGGCGGAGCTGGCAAACAAATTTGTCGGTAGAGAAATTTCCCTGCTGTAGAGCGAGGGTGACATGTACCGCCCGGTACGGTAGTACCTTTCTAACCCGGGAGGCAGAGGAGAGCAGGAAAGTTTAGGACTATTAGGCCAGCCAGCCAGTGGTGGTGAAATGCAACGGTACGGGTAGTACCTTTCTAACCCGCGAGACAGGGAGAGCAGGAAGGTTTAGGACTCGAGCCAGTCAGTGCCACCAGGTAGTTCTACCGTATGCATGATGCAGGATATCTGTCCGAGAAGGATATCAGCTACCCGTAACTTTTACAAAGAAACTCTTGAGTTGCAAAGACACTAGCTAGCGGTAAACAAACCAATGGGTGATAACGAGTAGATGCACTGCATATACTGCACTACCGCAACCAAGGCAGCCTCACAAAGGACGAGTATTCTTGACATGGACGAGCAGACAATGCACAGATCGCCTTACTTGCAACTCTGTGTAGAGCCAAATCAGAACAAGTCAGGCTACCGGTAGCTAGTCTAGCTAGTTGCTCTCTTCGTGTCATTCCAACCATGCACCAACCACCAACCACAAGGGTTGCTGCATCAGAGTGAAACTGTCGAATGATTCGATTGAATCGAATCATTCGATTCGAATGGGTTGTCTTTCATTGCGTGTTCCCACGAGCGAGCAGTTCGTGAAAGCCTCAGTGACGTTGAGAAGGATACGTCAGCAATGACACAATTCCGATGACCCTCACGTGGTTCTGTGACCAACCATGACGAGAGCCACAAATTCGTCAGAAACCAACACTTACTTCATCCTTGCGTCTTGCGTCGACGCAACTGCACTTTGCCGTGTAGCAAAGCGGAAGGAAACCAAAGGTAGACTAGCTAGTGCTCACTTTTTTGCAACCCATCAATTGCAAACACCCTCCTGCTTTATCTACACTACCTGTACTATCAATCCTCAAGATGCCCCACCAAGTGATTCGCGCTGTACAAACGCTCTCTGCTGCCCATGGCACCGGAAGGGCCCTGAGGACGGGCAAGACAAGTATTGGACAGTTGGCCAATGCTACCATCTGGTCTCCACAGCATTTCCCAAAGTTTCTGGGTTTTACCATGCTCTCTTCGGGGGTTGCTGGATTCAACTTTATGGCATACCTCAAACGGTGTGACAAGGAAACTCTGGTCTATGCCGAGTAATTTTTATCAACGGGTTATGGGTGTTGTTACAACACCAATTGGAAATGGCGCCCTGATGGATATGTAATAACTCGGAGATTGATCCGCTAAAATGTATATATGATTCATAAAAAGGCGACAATCTGCTACTGGCAACTTCTCGAGAAAGAATGTGGACATGGCATTGTGGTATGTGCTTGGCTGTATGAATGTGGATTGATGAGAGAAATGGTGGATGGTTGTAAATAGATGGATTGGCGATTGATACCCTGGCTTCCGGTTGTAGGCAAAGAAGATGGAAGCAAGCTACACTATCTGACTTGCGTAGCTAGCAACGCAATGAGCTAAGAGAGTAATTTGACTATTTTCGAAAAGCAACTTTCTGTTTGTCGGTTAAGGTATAATCAGCGGATAAACGCGGACTTGGAGAGTGCAACATACGTGTAGTGGCGTTGTACATGTATGTGGCGTTGGAACAGGAAGCTTTGCAGCTTTTAAGTATTGGTAGCGGCTTCAGTCTCCTCCTAGCACCATCTATAGCTACAAGTAGTCGCAAGTGCAACATTGGAGGGAAAGCTGCAACTGGAACTACTAGGCAGCTGGCAAGAATGAAAGCTACTAATTTGACAAGCTCCTTATTATGTTTCGGTTCCTACCGTACCGGTAGCTCGATTGCCGCCTGGAGCTCCTTGTGTCGTTTGTCCACATTCGACCGGATTTTGAAAGCCATTTCCACGGTCTCTTCATTCAATTCCATTTGGGTGGCAGAATCCAACACATAGTCCAGAAGTGTTGTGATGGATTGTGTTTGCTTGGCTCCTTGTCTGGCCACATCCTGCTCGCTTATAGTGGGATACAACAAGGCGCCAAGATCTGTCATGCCTTCTGCCACTACCCGTGCCAAATCGTGGGCCTTTTGCAGAAAACAAAAGACAGAATTGGTTGTCTCTGGTGGCGAGTCCAGCCCTCCAAGGTGTTTCGAAGCTGATTCACAGGCCTTGAGCACAACATTCATGGAACCTCGAGAACACTTGATCAGCGCCACAGCTGGTTTTGCCAATTCCAGTTCTTTGGCCGTGTAGTGTTCATCATCACCGTCTCCACCAGCCATTTGGCAAAGGAATTCTTCAAACGTTGGCATGTTTTCTTCGTCGTCTTGTTGTGGATCATTGTCATCATTATTGTTTCCCGTCGCCTGACCTCGATCAATCATTTCTTGAAATTCGTGCATCGTCTCTTTGCATTCCGTCATCCATGTCAATAACTCGCGTCGCGTGGCATTTCGATTTCCTCGTGGGAATTCCTTTTGGGTCATATTGTCACAGGTTTGCCAGACAGCTCCACATTTCTGTGCTGCCAGGTTGTTGTCTTTTTCCAAAATCTTATGGTCCGAAGGATCATTCAGCGCTTGTACTAGTTGAATGACACTCATGATAATGGAGCGTGCCGCTTGGTTGGTGTAGTGCCGCGTGGATCGGGCACAGCCATAGGCATCATTGCTAATGACCAAAGCGCCAGTGGCAATCAACTGGCAACCCTTCAACAGATCCTGTGCGACCTTGGCAGCATCCTTGGGTGACAGTTTTCCCACCAATGTGTACTTGGTGGATGTTGCATGGACCAAACTGGCTCCTTGTTGCATGTATTCATAGGATTGCTGAATGTCATTGGGGATGTCTTGATAATGGCCCAGCTTTGCGGAGGCACGACTCTCCAACTCCTTCAAGGAGACAGCTAGGCGATGGAGACCTTCCAATACCGTAGAAGTCTCAGCATCTAGGGCTGCCATGGTTCCGCTGCAACAACGGAGTGTTTGCAATTTATGATCTTGAGACTTGAGAGGCTTTGGGTCGTCTTGGGTCCTTTGTGGATGTGAAACGTTCGTTTGAAGCGAACACAAGTTTGAACGGCCGAGCTAGCACTTTTCCCACGCTGCGCTCCACCCAAACGTTAGCCCTGACCTTATTGTTGGAGGCAGTTGATCGCGGATCTTTCCTTCCTTTCTCATTAAATTTTTTTTCAAAGTCCGCTTGGTGGACAAGAGACAGTCTACTATTGGCAACAACACTGACGATGAATGCTTCAATGTCAAGTAGAATAGGCAGAATGAGGATAAGAAGAGGGAAGAGAGTGGGAGGGACGTCGTCGTTGTGTCTACTATGGCTGGCTCTTTTATTATTATTGGCCAGCCACGAAATCTCCGCCCAAATGCCTCCTAGCGCGTGGATGGAGGAAGCTGAAAAAGCCAATTGTGCTCACATTGTGGATGCCATGATTTACATTTCCAACGAGAGTGGCACCAGATTTGATGTCTTTTGGATCAATCCGAAAACTCAAACTCTCACGCAAATCACGCTCGATCCCGTAGAACCACGCATTGTGGCCCCGTACAATACCCACGTGGATCAGGTACTCGAACTGCACGAGATACCCGATGCCACTACGGGAGAATGCTCCTCTCCCGAACAAGTCTGTCGAAGAACCTATGCCAAGGCACATTCCGAAGACAAAACGAAAAGTGAGTAATTCTTGATTCAGATACCTCTTTCTTACCTTGCCTTGACTATCCTTATCTCATACTATTTTGCCTTTATCTATTCCCCATTCAAGACGTCTATAAGATTACCAAAGACTTTGAAGCCGTCCATGTCACCGACAATCTTCGTGCCAGGGCATACGCAGGAGAAACCATTGCCAGTGCTCTCACCTTTCAAAATTCCAGTGGAGAGACCGTGGATATCTTTTGGGTGGATCATACCGGGAATAAGGTCCATCTCGGTCCTCTCAACCCCGGAGGCACTGCTGCCTTTGATTCCTTTGTGGGAAATGAATTTGCCGTGCAGGAATCAGGAGAATCTTGTGGCGACAGTTGTCGCATCACCCATGTCAAAAATCCAGGAAATGACCCCACCATTGTCATTCAGGAGCGATTTCAGGCCATGTATCAGGGACGCGATATCTCCGAGCCATGACGATTTTACATGCAACGTTACTAGCACTTTGTCAAACCAATCTACCAGTCTTGCATAGTGCAGTGCCAATCTACTAAAATGGTCTCTTCAGTCCAGAGGCGAATATGAATTCCGCACTGGTACCGCACTGGACATTGATCCAAACGAGCAATAAAAGAAATACCAATCCGTCCTCATTATGGCAATACCAAGTCCAGCAGATTTTCTTTAATCTAATCTCGTATAGCACCCACCATCCAACGATTTTCAGACCCTACCTTGTACCGCTACCTTGTACCGGTACCGGTACCGTACCGGTAGATCTGGAGGGTGATTGCAGATATGTTGATATTTTTACGGTACAGTCCTATGATACTGTGGCTCGTTTGTGGCCAGCAACCAGCCCATCTTTATTCTTCCAATTAAAAGCAGAGTCAACCTTGCAATAACCCTTCTGCTCTGAGGTGAACCCCCTTTCTTTGTGTTTACTTATGTGCATCGTGAAGCGAAAACAGCAGCAAGACACCCATCTTGCCAACGATTTCGATATTTCGATAGACTCAGACCCATTATTGCTCGCAGCTCACGGTTGAGCTGCATCTATCTATCCTCCTCACTTGCTCACCGTCTGCAACAGTTGACCATGATGAAGGCATCCCTTCCAGTTCCTGACAGCGACAGCAGTGTTGGTCCTGTTCCTGATACCAGTACCGCCTTTACAGATATGAACACAGCAGAAAATCAGGAAGAGTGCGATCTAGCTGCACCCGATACCACATCACAAGAAGTAGACCTGGTGGCTCGAGAATCGAATGTCCAAAGAGACAAGACCTTTCAGGAAGCAGGTCTTTCCTTGGAGCGTTTCCCTCAGTCTTCTGATGAGGCAGCTTTGGTTGATAGGCTATTGGCCGACGAAATTGAGAAGCTGTCATTAGAAGAGAAGGAGCTAAACACTTTTGATTTATTTGGAATGGCCCAAGAAACCAAGGACCCCGAGAACATGGATGAGCTACTAAAGGAATTGGAGCTGGAAATTCGAAAGATTCCTCGCCGGAAGGCCTATGAAAAAGCCAAGTATTTGAATGAAGAGTATGTGATGGACAGGGATTTCCGGCTTAAGTTTCTTCGCTCTGACGACTTTGATGTCCAGTCTTCGGCACAACGAATTGTGCAACATTTTGAGGTCAAATTGGAGCTGTTTGGTGATGGCCCTGCCTTGGCCAGAAATGTGCTCATGAGCGATCTTAGCGAAGATGACATGAAGGCTCTCAAAACAGGAGCCTGGCAGCTCTTGCCTGAGCGTGACGCTGCTGGCCGTCTGGTCCTGGTGATATGCCCTGGCTTTAGGGACAGCTCTATAGCAATGGATTCTCAGGTAAATACAGTACTTCCAAAGCTGTGCTGCAGCATGTCCTCGTCACATTCTTTTGTGTCTTAATGCCAGTTCTTTCAACTTCTCAAAGCTACGCTCCACAGTGTATTTGGGATGGACCTTTCTCTTAACTGAGGATGTACAAAGGAAGGGTGGCATAGTAGTGGTAGTCTGCCTTATTGGAGAATCAGTGCTCAGTCTACAAAATCAAATCTTTAACCAACTTTCACGAATGAAAAAAATCAGGTCAGGTGTGCCCCGCAAGGTAGCTGGCATCCATTTCTTGTTCAGCCAAGAATATCTTCGTCCTTTGGTTTTTGGCTTTCAATGGTTAATCCAGGAGCACTTGAGAGCTAAAATGCGTGTCCATTTTGGGGACTTTGAACAGCTCAAATTCAAATTGCAGACCTTTGGAATCCCAATGGATTGCTTTCCATTCCATCCCAACAAACCCGCCAATCGTGAGAATCATCTTCAATGGATTCAGAGCCAACGCACACTGGAAGAAAAAGGCAACATTATTACAGCTGATACCATCATCCCCCGTCGATTTGATGTCCTCTTTGGGCGAGGACGCCATACTAGGAATCACACAGGCAACGCGAGAGCTGCACACATTTCTGAAATGTTTCGAGACAAATATGAGGCTGCTGGGAAGTTTGAAAAGACAGCAATTGCTGAACGCATTGTAACAATGATTCGAGAATCGCAGGGCCGGTTTTTGAAATGGGAAGATGATGCATGGGTTGCAGTGGACCAACAAGCTGCAAGGAACAAGGTATGTACAAAATGAATGTATCTCTTGGCACGGAGATATAATTTGGTGTTCTTTCTCACCCATTCCTTATTTTAGATTTCCCACTTTTATAGAAACACACGCAACAAAGGGCCCCCTCCCAAAAGCAAGGAATCCCCTTCTGATGGGTCTAGCTCAGAGGGTGAGTCGCTGGCTTCAGCTGTGTCCAAGCGAACACAATCAGATTCAATACAACAATCGACAGAGCGAATTCAGAAACGGAAACAACGGGATACCTAGCTCAATGGACTTAAATTTGGATTATGGGTTGTGGGAGTAAATCTCCAGCATACAGTGCCCCCCATTGGAGCTTCTGTTTGTCATGATAAAACAGAGCTTTCTTTTGGTTTTTAAAAAGGCTTACCTAAAGTGTTGAGTTGGCAGCACTTTTGATGCTTGGGGCTTGCGGATGACGGGGATGATGATCCTTGGGCATACCACTGTATCATAGTAGCTCGCACTCTTCCAATCAATCTGGTACATCCTGTGGGTGGGTGCGAAGCAAGCCTGTTTCATTTGGAGGGATCAACTCCCGTTGGAGGAGCAACCAGCTCAGAGGGAGAGTCGCTCGCTTTGGCCTTGCCGAAGCAAAGGATGGCTCCAGCTTGTCCAAGCGAACTCAATCGGATTCAAAGTAACAATCACTACAACGAGTTCCAAAACTGTTCGTAAAAGGGCAGGTGCCTAATCCGATGGGGTGTCAAATGTTTGGGACTTTCAGTGACGGGGTATCCTCGGCGAGCCCATTACTGGATCTCTGCATCAAGTCATTGTAGTAGTCGCGGATGCTTGCACCAAATCACATTTGCTGTCTTATACGAGCTAGCTAGCTAGCTAGTTGTTAGCGTGGTAGTCCGGCATGGGCTTCATACCCTCGCCTTCGTGCACTCTGGAGACAAACAGAAGGTGGAGGCAAGCCAAAGAGGTTCTACACGTACAGTACGGTAAATGCACATACACGGTGTGAGCGCTGGCTGGACTGGCTGATTGCATGCATGCCATGGCTGACTAGCCAGCCAAACTAGAGCTTAGTGGCAGCTACGCTACATTGCAGCCATCAATGGCTGGTTGGCTGCCTGAATCCAGCGAGGAGGAAGACTGGCCAGCAAAGGCAGCCAATGCCAAGCAAAATTTCGCCTGCGGTCGTCGAAGCGGAACCGTAGCGGCCCTTTGTTGTGGCCTGGCCTCGCTCTGGGCCTTCTACACAGGCAGGGATGTGCTCCAGCCACCAGTGCTCGAACCATCATCCACGCAGTCACCCAGCCAGCTAAAGAACAAGTGCCCTACCGGTATTGCTAGCTGGTTGCGCAACTACAGCAAGAAGACGTTAGCGCGGTCTCCCCCCCCCTGTGCGTTTCGGCTCAGCAGTACGAACCAAGCTAAAGCAAGGATGCAATCACCCGGGCAATGCTGGGTTGGCTGGCCACTTTATTTCAGACGATCGCTGGCTGGCCTACTACTATCTATCTTTCTGTGCTGCCTTTGGCCTACAACTCGGTTTTCCATGCCATGAGGCCGCTGTGTCTGTCAAGGGTGCGTGCTGCTCCGCCAGGTGCACTGCAGAAGCAGTACAAGCTAGCAGTGCCAAGCAGGCAGGAGCTACACGGACAGCGTCTCTGGTTGCAAAAACGGTACGGTACTACTCGAACTGGTCGGCAGATCCAACTCCTTCGTCTGCCTCCTACGGAATCGTACCGTACCAGCCACACCGCCAAGGTTGCAACCGACTGCCCATGGGCGGCCGGACCCTGTGATTGCTAACCAGCACCAACCACGAATCAAGTCAAAACTGTTCTGTAGTGGTGGCTATCCAGTTGTAGCTCTCTGTGCTTGACCTGTACCGGTGTTCCGGTTGGTACCAGTCTCAACACCGAATGGTTGTAACTTGGAACTTACTTACTTGGAAACGACAAGCAAACACTGGTTATGCGCTCTTTGCAAGAGTGAGTTGCAATTGGAAGGTCATGCTGGGTAAAATTCTACGATCAAAAAGACCACTATTCGAAGCGACTACATTAGATATTTTGGCAGCGTACGGTATGCTTATGGATTGGATGACTTCAGGGTTCCTGCCAGCTCGTCATGCAGGAAGGTCCTTTTGCTTTGCATGCACGTTTCCACTCTGTGGTATGGTACAGTACCAGAGCCCCAGCTTAATTTGATCACTTGAACTCACGGATGAAATGCGTGTTCACAAGAGCGACAACCTAATCAAAGGATGCATGAAGGAAGGGCATCTGTATTCAGCGATTTACTTTAGTATAGATTCCAATAGTACTGTAAGTTGAAGTACAAGTCACAAGTCATTGACTGCGTCATAATGGTACTTTGTGGTCGAGCCTACCGGCCAGTTTACGACCACACGTGATAGTAGTTCACATTTTTAGGCAGTGGTGGCGGCTGTTCCTCTTGGGCTCAATCACAACAACCAAAACAAACTGACTGGGTCGTTCATCATCAGTCAGTTCCACCCCAATCCCTTCACACTTTGGTTACTTTTTTGCGTTCTTCTCTGGTTGTAAAAGAGAGCGAGAGACACACAGCGTAACACACCCAGTGGTGATTGACCGGTTCCATCTCTTCCAGTGTTCACAGCATAAAAACTAACCAAGGCTTCATTAGCACCTGCTTCGATTGCATCGAATCCATCAATTCCAGCCCCAGCTTTCTTTCTTCGCACAATTACAGTACAATAATTTGCTCCATCATGTCAAGTTACAGCAATCTTTGGGACAGTACATCCACCCTGGGCGACAGTGACACGTCTTCGTCTCGATGGGAAACGGATGAAGTTCCTGCCTTTCCTCGACCATGCTGCGCCATGATTTCTCCTCGACTCCCCAAGAGACAACGGACTCTGGAAAAGAAGGACATGATTGATCTCATGCTTCTGACGGAAGAAACACACCAAGAAGACGGCCATGACAATGACATGCTCATTGCGGAACAACCACAACAACAACAACAAGAAGAAGAACCATCTCAAGCTCTGTCCAATGTTGTACATCAAGACGACGACGACAAGCCCAAACAACAAATGGCACCACCGCGACTCCCACGACGACAGCTCACCAACATTGTGGCCAACTACGGGGATCAAGCTCGATTGGCACGCATGCGATTTCAATGTCTCGTCAAGGCGCGAGTCAATGACACTGCTGCCGGAAAGCCCTTTCGAACCAACTCTCGATCGCACCCCCAACGATCCAGCGGATTCATTGATACTACCATGAAACGAGCTCAAACCATATAATGATTGTATGATAGTATGATAGTATGACAGAGGTGTTTGTATGGGAATGTACCAGTGTTAATTCAACAATACTATATATAGAGAGACAGAATATAGAGAAGTTTTTCAAATCTAGAGAAGCCTTGAACACCACTACCGGTAGCTAGCCAGCCAAGTAGTACTGTAGTGATTGGGCCTTCATGTTTCCAGAACGATCTGGCTCCTCGAGGCATGGCTGGGTGCAAAGCCTGGCTCGATCGTTGCAGCTCCAAAGCCCAGCTTAGTTACTTCTCAAGGACCTGCAGATGCCAAACGACCACTTGCAGAAGGAAAGCTTGGTCGGCAGGGGCCTGGCTCGTACTAGCAGCCCCGAAGCCCAGCTTGCCCAAACAATAATATGGTATGAGAACAACGACGAACGATGTGATGCGTACTTTTGTATGGGAAGCTGCAAGCGTATTCACCGATATTATAAAGAGTTTTGCTTCAAGTACAAAGGAAGCATCGTACAAGAACACTAGCTAGCATGCTAGCTAGATACATGTAGCCTACTATGCTGTACAACCGTAGCATCTGCTTTTAAAATCTTCCGTGTCGTTTCCAAAGACCATGCCAACTAGACTACACCAATGGATATGCTTCCCACGGCTGGATGGTGCAAGACCTTGGCTGCGTGGGTGGGTGCCAAGCCTCGATCGCTCGATCGGCAGTTCCGAGGCACCACACCAAAACTTTGGCACTAGCTAGTGCAGTACGTGCGTACAGTTCTGCGACGGGATACAGCTTACAATTCAGCTTTACAGCTTTACAATTAGCAGGCTTATTCTAGAAAATAATCAATAACTGCTCACTTATTTGGAAATACAAACTTTACATCTCTTAGATCGTTAGATTAATCAATCCACAATGGTATTGTCGCATGGTAGCATGCGAGGTTATGAGATGTTACTCATTCTTATTCTTATATGTCTATCCCTTATGGTTGTCAATGGAATGAGCTACTCCTTGATGCAGATTGCTCCAGAGTTTCCTCTTGCACTCTTCATCGGTAGTCCTTCCCCTTATTGCAACTTAATTCCCTTGGATTCGCTCGTAAGCAATCCTCCTCTTGTTGGTGATTCGCTCGAAAGCAATCGCAACCCATTTCATCCTGTGTTATACGATGGACTCCTACAGGAGTCCACCTTTGGACTCCTACAGGAGTCCACCTTTTATCCTGTCGTCGATCGAAATCGCGATGAGGATCCTATTATCTCGATCGCGGCAGCAGCCACTACTGGTACTGCACGTTCGACTGCAACTGTTACTACTACTGTTATCCCTAGAGCCTTGCTTCATCCTCATCTCCGTCGCGATCGATCGATCCGAGTTAACAGAGTTAACAAAATTCATCGAAAAATGAGCTCCTACTGCGCATATAGGGCTCGGCTTGTGTGTCATGCCTTGAGTCATGCTTCGGGAGCCATTTCACCCTCTATTATCGGTTGGAATTGGTTGAGTCATGCTTGGGTTATGTCTTCTTCGAAACCTCCTCACTTTTTCGTTTCAAATCGAATGTACGTGAAGAACAACACGTACTCGGCAGATAACAACACGAGCGATCGATCGGCAGATCGATCGGCAGTTGGTGTTCACGCGAGCGATGAACGGAGCAACAACAACAACAACACGAGCGATCGATCGGCAGTTGTCATTGGTATCTTGCTACCTAGAACTGGCATCGGTCGTTCGAACATATACTGGCTTGCAGTTGGTCGTTTGAATTCGCCAAGAAGTCCGACCACGTCGAATCCAACGAAGGATACAACCACTCATAAATTCCATCTTCGATTGACTCGATTGACTGGATATCCACCCAGCTCCTCCTCCTACTCTTGCCACTACTGTTTCCGCTCCTCCTCTTGTAGTTGCCGATTCTTCTGTTATTCATCCTCTTGTTGCCATTGTTGCCATTGTTGCCATTGCCATTGCCGCTCTGTTGATTTTTACTGCCTCCTATTGATGGACCTTGACGACGCTTCCTCTGATTCAGCATCCTCATCATCAACTCCTTCAACAGTACCA